AAACCATCATGCTAAGTAGTTTCACACACACTGCACAATCCTGTTTCTATGGAATGTCCAGACTAGGCAAATTCAACAGACACAAAGCACATGAGTGATTTCCAGGAATGGAGGAAGGATTTGGGACTATTAGGTATGCATTTTCTTTTGAGATGACAGGAATGTTCTGGAATTACTCTGTGGTAATGCTGTGCAATATGGTCAAATTGTACACTTTAAAACGATGAAGCTTATGTTGTATGAATTTATATCTCAACAAAAGAAAGAGGAAGAAGAGAACGAGGAAGAAAGGTGTAAGCATTTCACTTTAGGAAATCGAGGGAGAAGAAAGAGTCTCAAGAAGTATGAAAATTCCTGAGAGTACAAGTTAGATGGAAATGGCAGATCCTCACCAATTCAGGACTGGAATTTAGGAGTGGAAGTACAGTCCAAAACACAGTACCTTTTCAAATACATAGGCAGTGAAAATAGAAACATGGGGCTATTGAAAGTGGACAAAGGACAGACAATGAGAGTGCCATGTACTTCATGCTTATGTCTTCCCAAATCCACATTTAAAGCTCCTTTAGTACTGTATCTGCACATGAGCCTTTAGAGGGTAGTTGGAGCACGAGGTTATACACCTTTTGAACAGAATTAGTGTCCTGACAAGAGCCCGAGAGATGATCCAATTTGTGACATGAAAATACAGCAAGGCCTCTGTCTACAAACCAGGAAGAGGCTCTAAGCAGGAACAGAAAAGGCCAGTACATTGATATTGAAATTGCCAGCCTCAAAACTGTGAGGAATGACTTTCTGATGTTTAAGCTACCCTGCTTATCATATTCTTGTAAGAGCTGCCCAAACTGACTGAGATAAACAAGGGCATAACAAAAGGGGAAGGAGAGCCAGTGAGTGTTTTTCTTTTTAGTGATGAGAAAGATTCAGGTAATTATTGAGACATTTCTCCGTGGGCCTCTCACCTCTCTACCTCTTGCAGAGCCAATAACTATCTCTGTTCAGAACTACTTCTTCAAAAACATTTATAGTCTTGGAAGACAGAAGTTATATTTTTCCTTAAATCAAAAGGCAGATTTATTGACTTTTCAGTAAACATGATTACATCTCCTTCTGGACAAAGGCCAGGCAGACTTTCTGTCCATTTTCAAAGATATAAGTTCCATAAGCTTGGGGTTCCTTTCCCATAATGCACACTTCTACTACCTCTCCAGGTATTGCCTGGCTCTCTTTGTATTGTCTTGTAGGAACTGAGGTACAGAGAATCAAAATAAATATGCTAATGTGTAAATTGTATGCTGTGCTGTGAATTATAGTCATCATCTCTAAAAGCAAACAATGGAACAAACAGCTCAGCAGATCAACAAGAAATATCTGAACACTATAAACCAACTAGACCTAGCAGACAATCTATTGAATAAACACTCCACCCTCCAGCAGAACATACCTTAAATAGCCATGAAAATTTCTCTAGTATAAACCATTTTTCAACACCACAAAATAAGATTCAATAAATTCAAAAGGATTGGGAAAAATGTTCTCTAATCATAGTATAATTAGAAATTAATAGCAGAAAAAATTTGGACAACTCAAATATGGAAATTAACAAAGCCCTAAGTAGTCAGTAGGTTAAAAAAGTAATTTTTTTTTTTTTTTTTTTGGTCTTTTTGAGACAGGGTCTCCTTGTAGCCACAGCTAGCCTAGATTCACTATGGAGACCAGAGTGGCCTCAAACTCACAGAGATCTGCCTGCCTCTGCCTCCTGAGTGCTGGGATTAAAGGCATGCACCACCATGCCTGGCTAAAAAGGAAAAATTTAAAAATAGCTTGAGATTATCAAAAATGAAGCTATAACATGCCCAAATTTATGGGATGCCACTACAGTAATCCTTAAAGGGAAATTTTATAGCTGTAAATGCCTACATCAAGAAATCTCAGGCCGCTAAAAGGTGGCACATGGTTTTCATCCCAGCTCTTGGGAGGCAGAGGCAGGCAGGTCTCTATGAGTTTGAGGCCAGTTTGATCTATATCAAGTTTCAGGCCAGCTGGGGCTGCATAGTGAAACCCTTTCTTTAAAAAAAAAAGAAAAAAAAAAAAAAAAGAATGGGCTGGAGAGATGCTCAGTGGTTAAGAGCAGGTACAACTTTTCCAGAGAACCCAAGTTTAGCTCCCAGCACCCACATCAGGCAGCTCAGAATTACCTGTACTCCCTGACCTCTGTGGGCACCTGCACATGTCAACACACAGACACACACATCTACATAATTAAAAATAAAAATAAATTTAAAAAAAGAAAGAAATCTCATCTAGAAAACAAAACAAAACTTTCATCAATGGCCTAATCTTTCACCTTAAGATACATAAGAGTAAACTAAACTAAAACAGAACAGTGACGATTAGAGTGGGAATTAATGAAACTGAGAACAGAAAAACAATATAAAAAATCCACAAACCCAAAAGTTAGTTCTTTGAAAAGATTAACAAAACTGGCAAATCTTTACAAATTACTAAAATCAAGAGTAAGTCAGGCGACATCACCTGCTGACCCCAGAAGTACACTGAATTTGTCAGAAAAAAGTGATGGGGAGATACGGAGGTGTTGGAGGGGAAGGAGTGGGTGTGGATTTGATCAAAACATATGCCCCTCTGTGGGAGACAGGCTTGAGCCTAGGGTGAAAGTCTTATTGACAGCCATACAGCAGGCCCGAGGCAACGGCCCGACAGCTGGAGCCACAAGGAATGCCTTGTGACATTTGCTCCCATTGGCAGATCATGAGACTGATGCCTAGAGCTCGTCACTCCCTAATCACCACCCTTGGAATCCAAAATTGCAACACTTAGATACTGCAACAGTCAGGGTCACATGGTTTCCAGGAATCCAGGCTTTGTAATCTGAAATCCATTATGCTAATGAGGCATCCTACCTGCTATTCTGTGATGTTAAGTCTGTTATGCTAATAGGACACTGTTATGCTAATAAGGAATCCTACTTGCTGTACTGTGATAGGATGCTACATCTGATAGGATGCTAAACCTGTTTTGCTAATAAGGTATCCTACTTGCTGTGCGGTGATTGGACCACTACCCCTATATAATCTTGTGCCTTCCTGCAATAAACCAGATCTGTCACTGAACCTGGTCTCCTGTCTGAATGCGGCTCCACTGACAAAGTCTCCTCACCAGCCCTGAGGTCTGGGACTGGGCAGAAGCAGTGATGACAGAAGGTGGCAGAAGAGCAGCCTCAGCCCAGGGCAGGCAGAAGAGAGACCTTAACCCAGGGCGAGCAGAGAAGCAGCCTCGACGCCTGTGAGAATGGAGGAGCAGCTGCCACTGCCAGTGACTGTACCCCTCTGAAGAGTTAACCTTAAAATCTTTTAGGGATTAGATAAGAGATCCCAAATACTTTTGACATTTTTGGCCTTTGGAACAGAGTATGTTGCTAAAAGGCCCAAGGACATTTTGACTTTTAGCCAAGAAACTACTTTGTAGGTTTTTTAGACCGCCAGCTCTGAATAAACTACAACTTCCAAGATTCAGTTTTTGCCTCTGCTTATTGTCTGTGGTGACAGGTAAGTCCTGGTACTTTTTGTTACACAGAAATAGCACCATATATCTAAGGCAGTAAACTAGGGGAAACTTGGGTGGATATGGGTAAAATTGGACATATTAGGAGTGAAAGACTGCACTAGAATAAGTTGCTGGCAGTGGGCATGCTATTAAAGCTGTTGTTTAGTTTTAAATCATGTAAGCAGGGCATGGTAGAGCACAACTATAATTCAGCACTTGGTAGAGGAGGAGATAAGGCAAGAATATTGCTATTTCTAGGTCAGCCTGAGCTAAAGAAATTATCATTACCTTACCATTGCCTCTGATGGTCCAAAAAGATCAAGACACTATGCCAAAGCCTGATAGAAGAGTGTCCAGATTTTGCATGTATGTACGCATATGCATGCATGTGATAACCATGTTGTGGAGGCCAGAGGACAACTTCAGGTGTTGGACTCTTGTTTGCTGCTGAATATATCAGGCTAGCTTATCTGTCAAGTTTTCTTCCTGGATTAAAAATTCAGTGGTTGGGCAGGAGAGATGGCTCAGCAGTTAGGAGCACTGGCTACTCTTGCAGAGGACCTGGGTTCAGTTTCTGGCACCCACATGGTGGCTCACAATTACCCTAACTCTTGTTCCAGGGGCTCCAACGTCCTCTTCTGACCTCCATGGGCACTGCATGCCATGGATGCATTTACATATATACAGGCAATACACTATACACATCAAATTAAAAAACAAAACAAAAAATCAGTGGTAATGGTACAAGTCACAGATAGCAGCATACTTACTCTACATAACAAGGTAAAACTCCTGCAACTTGTCTGTCACTGCCGGATACCTTGTCCTTCTGGGGAAATGGGATTTGCATCTAATTTGCCACCAGGTCTGACTTCATTTTACAGATTAGCCTTTTACAAAGAACTATTTATCCATCCATGAAATATTCTCTAATCAATGACCAGGAAATCTTTGGGGGTTTTTCTTTATTCTTTTTGACCAGGAAATTTTCTTAAGTTAGATTATTATTGGCTAATTGAAAGAAAGTAGGTGAATATTTTCCTTTTGTAAATATCTTAACAAAATCTGAGAAAGAAGCTATTCTTAAAAAAAGAGGATATCCCAAGACTGATAGACCAGGGATTTTATTTACTTCCTAAGCAACAAACATTAAACCATGCAGGCTACTTGGTACCAACATTATTTTTTTATGTGTATGCGTGTATTGCCTGCATGTAGGTAAGTGCACCTTTGTTGTGCAATGCCCGCAGAGGTCAGAAGAGGCTGTTGGATCCCCTGGGACTGGAGTAATGGATAATTGCTAGCTGCCATGTGGGTGCTGGGATTCGAACCCAGGTCTTCTGCAAGAACAACCAATGTTCTTAACCACTAAGCCATCTCTCCAGCCCCACCAACATTGTTTAAATGTGTAAATAAGTTTATCTTAAATGCCAGAGTCTAATAAAAAAACAATTCTCATGATGAACATTTATTCAAGAGATATTTAGGTTGCACACCAGAGAGCTAATGACCATAGTAAAAAGAAAACAAAATGTTTTTATACCAACATATTTTTATTATATTTCTCTTTCTGTGACCCCTCCATTCAGAAAGCAGGAACCACCTTTTCACTGGGCCGTGGTTCCTCTTCTATTAACCCAAACTTAGTTTAAGAAAGGCTTTGTTTATATAATTATGAAATTAACTTTTCATTTGTACATTGCAATTTAGTTATTCATAAAGCCCAAAACTGTGGATTACAGTTGCTTTTTGAAAATAAAGACATCGTTTTTACACAATCTACTTTGCAAAGTAAAAAATATCTTATGTACCACTAACAACTACCTTGTTTGAAAATCTATGTAATATCAGAACATATTTATTTCTATTTTCATTTTCCATTTTTGACTATGCTTTAAAAAAGTAAAAATTAAATACAAACATCGTCAACTATTATATTTCTAATGTCAAGCTAACTAGTTAATCAATTAGTGTTCAATTTCTGCAGTGGGTAACTTCAATCTCAAAATTGAGACCCACATATTTTAAAAAGTACATGCTGAAGATGTTTTTCGGGGGGTGGGATGGTAACAACATGAAGGATAAACAGTATGTTTAAAACATAATGTATAAAAACATACATGGCTACATAAATACAAAAATAGCCCTATTTTGTCAGACTCTAAATGCAGATTTATGTCATCCTTAAATCTGATGAGAAATCTCCAAAAAATTCCAGATAGAACATAAAGACTTTGAACAGATGTGTTGGAGCTAGGGATTATCATGACCCATGATAATTACAAAGCAAAAAAGCAATGCAAAATATTCATTTGCTATAAACGAAGAATCACAAATGGAAAGGCATGGTAGCGTTTTGCTACCATGTTCAATTACATCTATAAGAACAAAGTGTTAACATGTCACTTAAGATAACTCAACATTTTCAGTTTTCAAAGAAATACTTTTTAAAAATGAAAATATAATAATCTCCTTTAATGAACCATACTCATGCTAAATGAAGTTTTACTCTTAACAGTTGAAAGTTAAGATCCCAATTATAGAACGGTCTTCAGAAACTTGGAACATGTTCAGTGCAGTTTAGATATCATCAATATCTTCATCATCATCTCCAATATCATCAAACTGGATTTCATCATCATCTCCAGGACCAAATGTGTCCGTTTCGTTGATTTTAGCATGTTCTGGAAGTTCTCCATATGCCTTCAGACTTCTGGCTTCATCTGCGTTGTACTTTAGAATAACATCAGCTTTGTTATCTTGATAGTCTCGTAGACCAATCAATATAATGTCTGAGGTATTTATCCAAACCTTTTTTCTCAACTTTCCTCTGATATGGCATAGCCTCCTTACACCATCAAAACACATTGCTTCCAATCGTCCATTTCCCAGCATTTTGATCACCTGTGCATATTCTTGCCCATCTTCTTTAAACACCAACTCTCTTTTTTCAGATTCATTTTCATTTTTCCCTCTGCGCCTGTTTTTACCTCCTTTTCCTTTATTCTTTGGCATGGTAGTAACCACAGGGGTGGAAGTGAGGGGACTCTCTGCTAATGGTGGTTTGAGTCCTTTCCAAGGGCTACTACTTGGATGGGCGAGCTGAAAGTGTATCCAAGTGGTAGGACTAAAGCACACTGCGGTTACTGGAGCTTTCTGGTAAACAGCAAGGTATACAAGATCCACAGACAGCAAATGGTGTTCCTGAGGCCCTGGCTTCTGTTAGCTGTAAAAGCAAAAGTATTTTTAGCTTTAGCAAAAGTTACTCACAAATATTATGTCATTGTAGTGACCAGGCTGGGCCTGCTTGAGGTTACACTATGTTGTACAGAATATCAGTTTCTAGCACCCAGTCTTGGGTCACTCTATTTAATGAAGCAACAACCTTGACCTGAGTCACCCAGGTCAAGTTTATTCAGGTTTAAGTACCAAGAAAGAAAGAATCCATATCTTGTGTTTACACAAGTAAACACACCATCTGCAAGCACACTAGGAGACACAAGCTGATAATCTGTGCCAATAAACAATGAAGCCTGAAAGTATACCAAATCTTACAAGAAACCTAAGGCACACGAGCGCATCAGCCACACCAAGTGGAACCCCCCAACCTGGGACTAGAGAAAAAAGTGTGCCCAGAAAGTGAAAGGTTGCTACCTTTAGTAGCCTCCTGGTCACTTGTCACAAGCCTTATCCAGGAAAATTGGCACAGCAAAGGACTCCTGTGTCTTTGGTAGGGCTCCAGCTCCAGGATAGCTTTTACCTGTGATACTCAGTCCACTTCCGACCATCCCTTGAAATGGCCTACCACCACACCTGCATGTGACATCTCTGCAGCTCAACAGCTCTGTGCTTGTGGTTTATAAGGGTTATTTGGTCCCCTACAGACTTTTCCCTGTTCCTTAGCAAGTTCTCTGCCTCAGACTTCAGAACACCTCATCAGAGCCTGAACACTGCAGCCTCTTTAACCCGTTCTTAGCTATTCTGTAACTGCATATATATGGGGGGGGGGTATAATGCATGGCCTGAGCATTAATATCAGTAATTAAGACAAGAATTAAAAAAACCTGTAATTGCCAATAGTCAGCTATGAAATGAAGCTGGAATTTCCTAGCAATTTACATTCAATAAAACTGATGTAGCTATTAATAAATTCTGACACTGCAGGAAGACACAAACATGTCCATCTATGTTTGTCAAAACATAGACAGTCACAGAAACTCCTTGATCAAAAGTAGGTTTATTTCAGTTCTTTAAACATTTTTAATCTAAGCACTAATTTTTTTATAAATTGAGATTTCATTTCAAATTCAAATTTCTTTTCTGTGTTTGTGTACATGTGTGTGCAGACGGTGGGCAAGTTCATGTGGCGGCCATCATTAGACTCTCATACCAAACCTGGAGGTCATGGATTCTCTAGACTAGTTGGCCAGGAGGCCCCAGGGGTCCTCCTGTCTCTGCCTCCCCAGTACTGGGTTTATTGGGGCAAACCCAGCTTTTAAAAGGGTTCAAACTCAGGTCTCTCATGCTTGCACAGCAAGTACTTTACCAACTGAGCCACCTCCTAGTCCCCTTATTTTTCAGCTCTTTAGGGGACTTTAGACAAACTCTTTGCATTATTTTGACACTGGGTCTTGCTAGGTAGCTGAGGCTTGCCTAGAACTTGTGATCCCTCTGCCTCAGCTTCCTTAGTACTAGTATTGTAGGTATGCACAACCATGCCTGACTAGATATAGGCCCATCTGAACTTACGCTAGTAAATATGTGTAAAGCTGATTTGCCAACCAGTCTTAGGTTGATGCTATCATGTTTTAGAAAAAAATGAACAAGGCAGCAACTCTGAAGAAATACTACTGTTTTCTGAAAAGTGATTAGTTTTTAGCAACTCTTAAGAAGGGAATGCAAACTGCTTTGTCTAGTCAGAAAGGGAAAATTCATACAAAAAACCCATCACAGCCACTGTGGGGACTGTGGGAACACCTCCTTACCTAGAGACTGAATGGTTATTCTTTGAATGAATTGTCTCCTTCAGAAAAATGGACTTTTATTAGTTAGGGCTCTTTCATTTGGAGGGAATATTAATCCAGTCATTTGCATCTCTAAAGTTATGTTCCCATTAGCCATCCATAAGCACTAAGAAGATTCACTACAAATAAACTGGAATTGAAATTGCAGGTTTTGTTAGTACCAGCTGTATCTACTAAATGCCCTAGAGCCCATTCAGCACCGTGAGGCAGGAATGCTTTGCTATTCCACGGAGGACAGCACATTCATGAATGAGGGAACACACAGTGAGTGTAAATGAAGGGGTCGGTCTGGGAGCAGATCACAGGGTGCAATGGAGATCAGCACTTACTCTGCTGACTGTGTTGGCACCTCTGTGATTTTATGTCCTTTATTCATAGGTTCCGTGGTGGAAACTGGGAGTAATATTCCAAATATGTGTAAAAACAAAGTCTCTAAGAGCCCTGGTCTTTCTGTGCATTTTTATTATGCCAGTATTGTAAATCTCAGCAGCCTGTACCCAGAGCTCCACAGAAGAGTGAGCAATTATTCTGGAAAGCTCTATTTGCATTACAACTACTGAATATACACAGGCTCTGCCAGATTAATCATCTTGCAGATTTAAATTTAAACCACTAGCCACTGAATGAGTTGCAGTACAAATTCATACAACTAGAAAAAAAAAATGTTGATGTACAATATAGAAACTACATCAACAAATTTGACAGAAAAAAAAGCTGGACTGCTACAGGAGCAGTCATTTTTTAAAAGAACAGTTAATACTGTTCTTTTGTGTGTGTGGGGGTCAACTGTTAGAATTTGAGTTACAAGTACAGAAATCTACAACAAATTAGTTTAAGCAAAAGAATGAATTGATTATGGGTCCAGCCATTCTGCTGGATCCAGGACCCCAACAGTATTAGCAATATTCTCATATTTTCCCTCATTCTCCATGTATGTTCTTGCTTTCTTTATGTGGACTTCATTGTAGGCAAAGCATTCTTCCTCCTGCACTGAAAAGGTGGCCGCCTGCAACTCCAGGCTTTAGTCAATCATGCCAGTCTTATCGAACAGTTCGCCTTCCCCAGAGTGGTTTGAGAAAAAGCCATGGGAATGACACTGATGGCCAGCCTGGGCAAGCGTCCATCCTACACTTTCCCTCTCCATTAAAGCTGTCCTTTATCTAGCTTTGTTGTAGGTCTAGCCAATGTTGAACTAAGGGACTGGGTCAGCAGCATCTCAGAAAACAAAACCCACATTTATTTAACCAGAATGGCTTAGAAGAAGTTCCCAGAGGCTAAACTCATGTTAGCAAAAAAAGAGGGGCAGGACTTTTGTTAGAAAAACACAACAGGTTGCAAAAATTAAAGTTATTTCTAGTGACAAGATTTAACTGCAATTTAATTGCAAGAATTCTTGTGTAAGGAGCTGAAGAGATGGTTCAGTCATTAAGAGACCTGGCTGCTCTGACAGAAGACCCACATGGCAGCTAACAACCATCCGTAACTCCAGTTCCATGGGATCTGATGCCCTCTTCCATCCTCCGCAGGCAATGCACAACATGGGTGCACTCACATACATTCAGGCAATACATTCATACACATAAAAATAATGTAAAAAAAATTTTTAAATAAAGAATTCCTGTGCAAATAAAATCTACACAGTTTCCATCGAGAAATCTAAGCACGGCTCTAATACAGCTATGGCTCTAGTAGTTTTAAAGCAATTGCAACAAAACAGCTATATTATAAACTGCCAAAACAGAGTCAGAGTAGACTCTGACATGCTCGCTTCCACAGGACCTGCCCACTGGAGCATATGTATTGCTTTTACAGGTACTAATTTGTTTCTGATATTTATTATTTCTCTTTCTAATGGCTTCCACTGCCCCAAAAGCTTCTGTTTATTGCCTTTTGTCTATGAACGTCTCCATATTTATGGTACTGATTCTGTTTTATCCAGTATGTTTGTTCCGATATATTTACTTTCTTCTCTTTCCTTAGAATGCATCTCATTTTGAAAACTTTTTTAATCATTAATTTTCCATCTTTCTTGTTCTCTAATATATGCAATTAAGCATATATTATATAATGTATAAATGGCTCACTACTGCATTAGGGCTCTATCCCACAAATTTTAACATATAGTGCTTTCTATGTCATTCAGTACCAAGTATTTCCCATGATGTTAATTGCTGTGAAGGTTTACTGTACATAAAGTATCCTATTTTAAGTGAACAATCAACGACTATTATGTATAAACCTACAGAGCCACAGCCATGTTCAAAACAGAGAACATTTCTAGCATCAACTCCCTAGGTCTCTTCTAAATAAACACTACACCAGAAGTGCTCTATTTCAAGGCTTCTTTTACTCATCATTGTATCTGTGCGATGTACCCATAACACAGTGTTTATTTTTCCTTTCCATTTAGGGGACTAATATACTTATTTGTCCCCTCTACACATATGTGGACTGTTTCAGTTTCAAGTTGTGAATAAAACTACAATCAAAGTTCTTATACATGTCTTTTGGTAGGTACATGTACATGGTTTTTCTTAGGTATACAGATATTAGATTATTTTGTCACAGGGAAAGCAATATTTAGCTTTACTGATAGTTTTCCACAGCAGTGTTTGACAGCTTATGCTCCACTAGATATGCGTAAGAGTGACAATGAGTTCACATCTCCTCATACTTGGTGTTGTCAGTTTTTATTTCAATTCTAGTTATTCTGGTTGGATATATAGTACCTTGAAGCCATTTTATTTCACATTTCACAGTAACTTTGAACACCATTTTCATATGCTTCTCGGTCATTTATACATCATCTTTTATGAATTGTTTATGCAAAACTCCAGTTCTTAATTGGGTCAGTTATTTATCACTGTCAGAATTCTTTATACATTCTGGGTTTCTCTTTTATTGGATCAAAACATATACATATTGTAGATTACAAATATTATCTCCATCTAAAAGCTGGCCTTTTTATTCTCTAACTTATCTATGTTGATAAAAGTTAAAACCTGTTTTTTTCATTCACTGAGTGCTTTTAGTGTCTTTTTAAGGAAACCATTGTCCATCTCCAAGGTCATAAAGAATTTTTTATATTTTAAGAACTTTAAACATTTACACTCATTTATAATCCATTCCACATAGATTTTTATTATTGCATGACAGATTCAAATTATTTTATTTTGCATATTGTTATCCAACAGATCCAACA